GTTCGGTTCCGCACCATAATTAAATTTTTAAATATTTTCAGCAACACTACATAAATACAACTAATGACATTTCATTCGTAACTTTTACAAATTAACGTAGCCCAATTCAAAAATATATACATAACTAGCCGTCCAATAAGATTAATTCAATGCATACAAATACCAAAAAATAGATATTAATATTATAGCAAAACTATATAAAGTATATTCACTTGTTTCAAATTAAAATGGGCTAATGGATTTTAAAAATGATTTGAGATTTAAAATTAAAATTATGAAATAATCTAATTTATTTAATTAATTTGCTAATTTGTATTTTAAAAAAATTTAATTAATTCAATATAAAAAATAAAAAATTTATTTAGTTTCGGTTCTTCGGTTCTTGATCTAGACCCAAGACCCGACCCAAACCCATCGGTTCTCGATTCGGGTACCCGTTCGGGTATTTAATTTATGAAGAACCGCTCGATTCGGTTCGGTTCGGGTTCGGTTCGGTTCGGGACTTTTGGACACCCCTAAACAAAGTTGGTTGCTTTCGAGTGACGAGCTGTAGCGACGCTGCTGCTTCATAGTGATGCTGCTCGGTGGTGGCATCTTGAGCGCGGTTGTGGGCGTCTTCACAACAGTGGTGGTGGTGGTGACGTCTTTGTGAGAGAAGAGATAAGTGAAGGATACAGAGAAAATATATGAGAAATGATTAGGGTTTATAATTGAATATATGTATGTGGATGGGATGAGATGGGATGGGATGGGATAACTATATAGATTAATTAAGTTTATAATATTATTATTAATGTTAAAAGTTTGAATTAACATCTGATTTTTACATAAGCAAACTTTAAATTTGATTTTTTAAATTGAAATTTAAAAAATCTACTTTCATGTAATTTCCACTTTTCTGTATTTCCTTATGTATAATTTTTGTGCACAAGTAGCGTAATCCAACCTTTTAATATAGAACCTAGATAAAATCCAATATATAGTATCACCGTCCAACAAACTCAATTGAATTCCAATATTAATGTTTTGAAGTCATATGATCTAATAGGACAAATACTGAATATTTGAACGGGTGTTTTACAGGTCAACAAACATAAAATATTGGAGAAAATTGCATCTGAGTCCTTGACCTTTTATTAGAATTGCAAATAGGTCCCCAATCATTTAAATTTTTGCAGCATAGTACCAAATCTTTGAAAATATTATGCAGCTGAAGGACTGTGTGTAGAAATAATCCAATTCACCGTTAGAAATTCTCGTCTTGAATTTGCCTTCTGTAAACCGTTAAAAATTTACAAGCAGAGTGTTAACAATTTTTAAATATGTGTTCAACATTGTAACTTCATCCCCTTGAAGTTTTGCTCAGACAATGGGGAAAACAAAATTTCAGAGCAATTGAAATTAGGGGTGTCCAAAAGTCCAGAACCGAACCTGATCGAACGGTTTTTCATAAGTTAAATACCCGAACGGATACCCAAATCGAGAACCGATGAATTTGGGTCGAGTCCCGGGTCTAGACCAAGAACTGAAACTAAATAATTTTTTTTATTTTTTATATTGAATTAATTAAATTATTTTATTTTTTAAAAACAAATTAGCAAATTATTTATATGTTTTTGAATTGAGCTACGTTAATTTGTAAAAGTTACGATTGGTATTTGTATGCATTGAATTAATTTTATTGGATTGCTAGTTATTTATATGTTTTTGAATTGGGCTACGTTAATTTGTAAAAGTTACGAATGAAATGTCAGTGGTTGTATTTATGTAGTATTGTTGTAAATATTAAAAAAATTATGATGGTACGGACCGATCGGAACCATTAACCGAACTCGAATAGTTCCATAATTATATTTGAACCCAACGGTTCCATTTATTAAATACTCGAAAGTTTTAGGTCAAGAGAATCGAACTGAACCGACCCCGACCCACGGACAGCCCTAATTGAAACTCGATGCAATCAAGTTCTCGATGATGGTCAGGTTGAATACGATCGTAGTTGAGTCAAGTTGAATCTCCACTAGGGAGCTCGATTAATTGCATTAACTTGCATTTTTTGCTTTTTTGTTTTCTTCACTATTTTATTTTTTTCTGGAAAAAAGATTATGTGTGTACATAGGGCAGACCTGTTTCTTGATGCAACAGAAATAATAATAGGAGATAATTAACTAGGGGGTGAGCACATGCGAACTTATAAAAATACCCTTAAAATTATGATTTTTTTTTTAAAAATCATATGAAAAGTATTTTGAAAGTAAAAAATACTGTGTAAAATTTAGTGTCACTACTTAATTTTACACGATTTAGTGGAGTAATGTTATTTATTATCATAATGATGGAACGTCGATGATGTGTCAATACATTATCCATCACATTTCTCTCTTTTTCCTCCCCCCTCATAAAAATTGAATTGTCTGATCTTATTATTCCACATAAACCGTCACATCACCAATGTTTTATCATCATAATGATAGATAGCATTATTAATTGGGAAAATTGTAGTGGAGGTCCCAAACCTTTCATTTTGTTGCAGAATATACCTTAATTTTTTTTTATTTTTACAGTTTCAATCCCAAACCTTTTACTTTAATGGCGTCGGAGTCCGTTGAATGGATTCCATCCAAAATCCCGTTAGTCAACACTTAAAATTGAAATTTTGACTCAAACTGAAAAATTATATGAAGGGTAAAATGGTTGAATTATATTTCTATAATTAAATAATTAAATAAAAAAATGAACTTCGTCTTCTCCAAATCACCCTACCCCCACTTCCTACAAAATAAAAAAAATAAAAAAAACTAGAACTCAGTCAATTCTTACCACCAACACCAATCATTGATGTCACATCAACATCGCCCTACCACTGCCGTCAATCAAATAATTCTGCTTTGCTTGCTGAAAAGCCTCCAATGCCCTCCTTTAACACCACCCTCAATCAAAAAAAATTGCTTTTCTTACTCATTTTCTAGCAAGAACCTCAAAAACTTCAAATCTAATCTGGAAAAAAAATCAAAACTAATTGGTGAAACTGCTTTGTATGCTCCGCATTCCTCGCTACATTCTTGGCAAGTGCTTTGGGATTTAAATGGTTCTCAAGAATAAGACGTTGGCAAATAGGCTTGATCGTAGTGGAGTGAAATACATTTGGGTGGCGAAGTAAGTGATAGTGGGTTTTGGATTGGTTGTCAAACTATAACAACAATTGCCTTCGGTTCTCTTCAACACTACCCGCAGTGGTTACTCGGTTTACTATCACCTGGAGCCGAAGCACCACCTTCCGAGAGCCATGGATGATGCACTCAGTGCAATTAAATGGCTACAAACACATGTTCTATTAAATAGTGCTAATCCATGCTTATCAAATGGGGTAGATTTTGATCAGGTTTCATGGTAGGGGTAGGAAGGAGTGGGGTTTGGAGAAGATGAATTTTTTGATTTAATTATTTAATTATAGAAATATAAATTGACCATTTTACCCTTCATTTAATCAGTCAATTTGAGTCAAAATTTCAATTTTAGTGTTGACTAAAGGGATTCTAGATGGATCCGTCTAATGGACTCCAGCTGCCATTAAAGTAAAATGTTTGGAATTGCGGCCGCAAAAGTAAAAGGTTAAGGTATATTCTGCAACAAAATGAAAGGTTTGGGACCTCCGCTACAATTTTCCCTTATTAATTTAGTGCCACTTTTTTTTAATTAAAAAGTGACATTATTAAAAAGTTATGTTTGTTACTTTAAAAAGTGATAGAAATTTTAAGTGACAAACACTAAAGAAAGTAATACAAATTCAAAAAAAGTGACAAACACTAAAAAAAAGTAACAGATATTCAAAAAATGTGACAAATACTAAAAAATGTGACAAAACACAAATTAAAACATTGAAATTAGTTCAAAAAAGTCACATAAATAATAATAAAAAAATGTCACAACCACCGTCCTTCCTCTTTCTTCGTTCACCATCAAGCATCTATAAGTTAGTTCACCTACAATATACCAATCAAAATGCTTATCATCTTTAAGTCAATTCACAGCCATCCTTATTTACCAACTCAGCCAACCCTTTTATGATATAAAAAGCTTTTTGGAAGTAAAAAATTACTGTATAGAATTAAGTGTCGTTTTTTATTAAAAAATGACATGCATGCCACTTTTATTAAAAAGCGGTGTATTTTACTCAAAACGGTGATAAAAAAGTGACAAAAATTCAAAAAAGTGACAAACGCTAAAAAAAGTGACAACGAACATTTACACATAGTCGTGTATGAGATCATACACCACCATCGATCTGCATTACCTAACTAATCTAAGCCCTATCACCTCCCACCACCACCTAAATCCACTTCCAACTTCTAGGATTCTACCAATCTTGGATGGAAGAAAGTCATTGAGAAATTTATTCTTACATACCAATATTATAGTTATTCTGCTCAGTAAGATTCTAACTCGATCATTGAACACGTCCTTGAAGGAAAAGGACACCTTCAAAAAGAGCAAACTATGCAACCGTATAGAGTAAAATTTTCAAATAAAAAATTCAATTATGTAGTGATAATCAAGTCCACGTTCCCAAACCAATGAAATAGTTCTTGGCACATGAATATTAAATTCAGGTAAAATAAAAGCTGAGGATCCTTTGGTAGGATATTTTTGTACTGAAGCTCAATATACAAGAACTAATACAGCCAACTCTTCAAAACCTATCTCAAAACATAAGATAGTAAAGTTTACTTCTTACTCAAATCCAAAAAGGCTCTATTTGATAAGAATAAGCCATCAAGAAAATAATCAATCTATTGCTCTACAAATTCCCAATAAAATGCCACTCAATATCATTGGCAGCAGCTGCAATTGATTAGAGCAATATCTCCAAATTTTAGAAAATCAATAAATTACACTACCTTGTGCAGGTAACAGTTAGCAATCAACTCAATGCACATCATCTTCATACAGGTCACATCCTTCCATACATGCAAAAAGGTTTATGAGAAAGAAAAAGAAATAAAAGAGATTCTGAAATTGTAAGAAAACTTTACTTGTTGTAAATGTTATTTGAACATTAGCTAGACAAAGATATCCTTTTAAAGAATCCAATTCACTTGATTGCATAATCAACATGGCTCTCTCTTCACTCTTAACTACTCCCATAATCCCAAACTTGTAAATCAGCCTTAAAATTACTCTCTTGCATTCAGAAACTTTTTATTCCAAATCCAATCAAAAAACTCTACATGATCCCTTCACTCTCTCCTTGCAGAATCTTTCGATTCACTTTAGACCATAGGAAGCCCATGGAAAAATCAAAATTTAGTCAGAAAATTCAGCTACAAAATACGTTAAATTGTCTATGGTTATGATGGGAACCTAAGGTGCTTTCTCCACGAGCTCTTGGACGTATTTCTCGTCGAAGCAACAGTGATCGACATCATAGACTTGGAGAGGGAGGGAAACGTGCTTGCTCTTGCTGACGGCCACCACCTGGGATGTTTCATTTGAAGCATCTAATCAGTTTGGGAATGGGGCATAGAAGCTTTGCTCCCGATGGTTCGAGACTTGTGGCTTTGGATTTTTGGTTTTTAACGTACTAATTATGTGATTAAATGTTCTGATTAGTTTTAAATGTATTATTGAAATTTCTTAGTTTCAGTGGGAGTAGCAGGCCTAATTTCCCCCAAGCAAATTGACTGCCTATACGACTAATCGGACCGACCCTATTTTATTTTATTTTATTTTTACCAGGAATTCAGTTTTGCGTTGAGCCAATAATCGACCCGACCCGACCCATGTGCAACTCTATAATTAACACAAAAAGTTTTAGGAATTATTTCCTTTATTCATTCACATTATTTTTATTGTTGCAAACTGTATCCAAAAATGAGAATATAGGAACGTGCTCGGCAGAAAAAACTTAACACGACTGAATGTTAGTTTCATATTCTTCATTTCTTACGTTAATTGTAAAATACTCGATACGTGGAATTAACCAAAATTTTTATGGTAGTGCCGATCATTTGACGACTAATAAATTAACCTCCATAGAGGGAACAATTTTATTACAAAAGAAGAATACGCTCTTCCATGCGTAGGCAAACCAAAATTACTTCCCTTGTTCAAGGAAGCAATAATAATAATCTCCATCTTGTAGAAGGATTCAAGAATGCAACTTTTATTCTCTTCACAATTGCAGTTGAGGAAACTCACCAATGACTGGCAGCTAAGAAAATGTGAATCCTTATTGCTTGCTCAGTTGTCTAATAACATATGGAAGTATGCCTCCGTGATTGAAATAAGCCAACTCCACCTGAAAATGCCATATCGTGTTAGACATAAATCTTTTGAATCAGATTCATAGGCAAAAACATTATAAGAGATGTACAAAAATTTCCAACAGTATGACAAACACACACACATGCACGAGTATAGATAGATACGATTTTGTGACCCATCAAATGCATATACGTCTTTCCTGTTATGTTCATCCCATGGTGTTTGAGCACTACCATTATTTCACATTGGCCCCCAAAGAGCAAAATAAGGAAAACGGAGTTCAAACATTTTAGTCAAAGAAAGAGATACAAAGATAAAGTAAAAGCTTGTGTTTATCACTAAGAATTCTCATATGTTACTGAATTTATATATTATGTATCCATATATAATGGGAAGAAGTATGAACTCCAATTCTTCGGTAGAATAGGAAAAAAAAGGAAGGCAAAGGGCAACACACCTCAGTATCAAAACGGACTGTGCATGTGAAAGATTTCCCAGTGTCAGTCTGGATGGTAACATCTTGACCCGGGCGGATCTCGTGAATGTTGCTGGGAAGATCAATGGTATAACGCTCATGACCCGTCAATCCTAGTGTGTCTGCATCCTCACCAGACTTGAAACATAGTGGAACAATGCCCATTCCAACAAGATTACTGCGATGGATCCTTTCAAAGCTTTTAGCAATCACTGCTTTAACTCCCTGTTGTGAAATAAATATAAATACTCACCTTCAGAGAATTTTTTATTTTTTTTTCATCGATGAAGAAAAGGATGAATAACAGTTTCACAAACACAAACAGTCAGAACAGAGACTCACCAACAACATTGGGCCCTTTGCAGCCCAATCTCGTGAACTTCCGCTTCCGTACTCTGCTCCAGCCAAGACAATAGTGCCAACTCCAGCAGATTTGTATCTCTGATAGTTGCATATTGGTGAAAAGTATTAGGACCAAACAGAAACTTGTAGTATTAGATCAAGAAATTAACAGAAACTGATACTAATGGAAACAAATACTTCAAAGATGACTTTGACCAAGACACATAACATCCCCAAAAAAACAAAAAAAAAAAGTTCATGAAAATCACCATTGCAGCATCAAACACAGAGAGCTTTTCTCCAGTGGGAATATGCAGTGTCTTCGGGCCAACTTCCCCATTCAATAACTTGTTCACAAGGCGAATATTGGCAAAAGTTCCCCTTGCCATTATTTCATCATTACCACGGCGACTCCCATAAGAGTTGAAGTCCTTGCGATCGACCCCACGCTCAACAAGATACTTGGCAGCTGGACTATCCTTGTGAATGCTTCCAGCTGGCGAGATGTGATCTGTTGTGATACTATCACCAAAGTTCAGCAAGCAGTAGGCATCCTTTACTCCATGCGGCCCAGGGGGATCCATAGTCATATTTTTAAAATATGGTGGGTCGTGAATGTAAGTAGAATTTGGGTCCCATGAGTACAGCTTGGCAATTGGTACTGGTAACTGATTCCACATGGCATTACCCTTTGTGATAGCTTCATATGTACTTTTGAACATGTCAGGCAATACACTGGATTGAACCACCTACAACACACAATTTTCATATTGCTTGACCATTTAATATTGCCTTTCTGCTAATGGGCATTCAGTGCAATGTACATGCATACCTCTGCAATTTCTTCAGTTGATGGCCATATATCCTGGAAATAGACATCCTTACCATCTTTGCCTACACCAATTGGCTCTTTATTGAAGTCAATATCAACCTACACAAAAAGAACAGCTATACCTTAACCTGAGACTCGGTAAAAGATTATAAATAAGTTATTAGTTATAAGACCAAGAAAACAGAGGCCAGTTCCCCAAGATTGAGGTGGTATTTCAAACCCTATCTGCTCGCTCAATTATTTAAAAAAAAAAGAACATTTTCACTTTCCAATTTTAACACAACTCTCCCACATATAATTCTTACTCATCGACTCTCAGATTTTCTTATTTTTATTATAGAACGTACATCATAATAGTTATAGCAAATTATTTGGTGTATCCTGTATATACTTTACAAATTGGAATTTGCCCCTTGAATTCATTTTTGTAAATATGAGTTAGCCCATTCATGTATTAATGGATTCATCCTAATTTTTCCAATCAAGTGTTAAAAGCTTTCAAATGACTGAAACTGTAGTGTAATTATCAAGATATTCCTTAGAACACATGGTTGGTAGTATTTACTAACCGTGCCAGCAAGTGCATATGCAACAACCAAAGGGGGTGAAGCGAGGTAGTTCGCTCTAGTCAAAGCATGGACACGGCCCTCAAAGTTTCGGTTCCCAGAAAGTACAGCAGCTGCAACAATGTCTGCAGAGCACCACCTCATTCATATTATAAAACAATCAATTTCACATTAACACAAATGATTAGCATCGGGCAGTGCCTCTACTGAATTCAATCAAGTAAAACTTTGTCAAGGTTTACTAGATCAATGAGAGAACCAAAGAACAAGATTATGGCATACCATTTTCTGATATAGCAGCAGCAACTGATTCGTCCAAATCCCCAGAATTTCCTATGCATGTTGTGCAACCATAGCCCACGATATGGAAGCCTTGTTCATTTAAATACTTTTGTAGCCCACTGCATTGCAAAACATCCATAAGCACATATGCATGTCAAAACAAATATTGGGTCATAAAACTAAAATTATGAGCTATACCTCTTCTGCAAGTACTTCGTAACAACTCCGGAGCCTGGAGCAAGGCTTGTTTTAATCCATGGTTTTACCTGACATATTTTATCTAAGAGGTAAGCATTGACAGAAACCAAATCAATTGACCACTCACCAGAACATGACCCACCTGTAAACCAAGCTCGCAAGCTTTTTTGGCAACAAGGGCTGCCCCAAGCATGACACTAGGGTTTGACGTATTTGTACAGCTCGTGATAGCAGCAATCACGACGCTGCCGTGCTTAAGCTCAGCAGGTTGTCCATGGAATGAAAATTTGGCCACTTTTTCTTGTGCCTCCTTGGGCACAGCAAATCCCTGCATGAAACCTGCATGTTAATTCAAGATGGGGGCATAATCTAATGTTGATTTGTATTATAATAACAAATTGGGCTCTAAAGTCATTACCCTGTCCATAAGACACATTACAATCATGCAATGATTTAAGCCTGGTATATAAAGATTATATTTGAGCGTAATACTAGTCAAAATCCAAAAAATTCTCTTATCACTTTAAAAATATCAACATCTGAAGCTTAGAGAAACAACAACCAAAAGCATTATAACTTTAAAGTCGACAAAGTTGAATCCTCACCTTGAATCCAACTTTGTTATCAAGGCATGAGTGCCAATCAACCTTCATTTCTCTTAAAGGTACCCGATCATGAGGTCTATAAAGAATGATAAAATAATAGTTAGCGACCACTGATCACATGTGTAACTTTAAAAATCGATGTAAATGTATAAGCCACATCACACACCTCTTTGGCCCTGAAACACATGGTTCAACATCTGCCAGATTTAGGTCCAAGTAAGATGAGTATACTCTTTCTTGTTGAGGCTGAATTGGTAGGAAAATAAAGCCATGAGTCCCGTGTCAAAACTATGATAAATTAAAATAAGAAGTTCTGATAATAATAATTACCTCACTATAGTCGACAAACATGTTGTTTGCACGTAGATATGCTTCTATCATTGCCACCTAATTAGCATAGAGTTGAGAGTAATTAGGTTCAAAAGCATAGAGCAGCATAATGTGGGAAATCATTTACATTCATTACAAAAGGTACATACAGTATCATCACTTCTCCCAGTTAATTTGAGATATTGCAGAGTGACTTGATCTACGGGGAAGAACCCCATTGTAGCACCATACTCAGGAGACATGTTTGCAATGGTGGCTCTGTCAGCTAATGATATTTCACCCACACCATTGCCTAGACACAAAGCAATGAAATTCAGTATCTCATTCCCTTGTAAAACTACAGAATTTAAATGAACCCATGTTATGTAATCTTACCATAAAATTCAACAAACTTCCCAACAACACCGTGCTTCCTTAGCATTTGTGTGACTGTTAAAACCAAATCAGTAGCCGTGACACCATTTTTCAATTTGCCAGATAACTTGAATCCAACAACTCCAGGTAACACCATGCTCATTGGCTGTTAAGGAGGGATAACAACATTAAATTGAAGTGCTATAAAATGATTGTATGAATTACTA